CTCTGGTTTTAGCCATGGAGAAAACTCTTGGCTGGATAGACAATTTCGTTACATTTAAACTTGCTTCTCCGTGCATCTCCGCTATCGGGACGGAACCAATAATAGCAAGCCGATGTATTTTTTTTTTTTTTATATAATATTAAAAAAAATTGTCAATTTTAACGTTTTATTTAGATTACAAAAATAAATCGTAATAAAAATAATCCTATTTATCATGTTTTAACAATTTAGACCTACGAAAGACTGATTTAAGACATTTAATTACCAATTAAGGCCTTAGTTTTATTTTAAAGAATTCAATGCTTTTTAAGACTTTTTAAGGATCCGCGGGAACCCTGCAAACATTATTCATAGACAAACTTGTGTGTACATTAGGGGTCGTTCACTTTTCGTTTTCACAAGTGTAGTAGGCTATTAACCCCTGAAGGCACTCATGCCTTAATCTCAGTTTTTGAAAGTCATAAAAGACTCAAACAGGATTAAAACACTAACTAGATTTGATCCAAGTTTAGTTGAGTAATAGAACTTGTTAACATGCTGGACTCATATCTACTTTGCTGTTAAAAAAAACAGTTCCACTTACCTTCCATGATTTCTTTAATTACATCCAGTAGGTGTCTCTCTGATAGGGTGTGTCATTATTTAATATCTAATGCCTGCATTTTTCTTTGCTGCCACAGGCTTATGATGGAGGCAGGAACTTAGAGTAATATTATCTAAACAGGCTGCCCAGTACATTCCTATTGTTTCCTCCTGATTTGTGCCTCCTGATTTGTGATGCAGAGGATTACTGATATCTTCATTAAAGGGATTTCTGCCTCAACTAATTAGACTCCTGAGGGAGATGAACTAAAACATTAGAATTCATATATTATACTATTGGTAGGAAATCTATAATTAATAGAGAGGTATACACACCTATATGACAAACGGAGCATTTTTAGGGTGTATTAAGTCTTTTTATTGATTTTAAAGAGTATTAATAAACACAAGTGTAAAAAACATACACTTCTTAAGGTCCCTTTTCAAATGATGACCTTTCAGCTCTATTATTGTATAATTTACTGCACATGGAAACTGAAATTGATTTTTTTCGGTTTTATTTCTTGCAGGTTTTAACAAAGAAAGTATGTCAGTTAGTATTTAGCAGAATTTTTCCATGTCTGTGTCCATGGGTCTCAGTCCTGCTACAATAAAGTAGGGAATGAAAAAAGCAAAAAACAGGAAGATTTAAGTCATTTATTCATTTATTAATGTGACAATTCTTATGTTACACCTCTTTCATTTACATAAGCAGGCAGAGAGAGAAAAGAAAATAGAGCGTTGCCTTAGACATCTTATTTAAAATCTTTTACAAAAGAAACTTTGTTATGAACAGCATTTACATCTTCTCATCCTTACTGGACTGACAGTGGTTCGGTTGGATAAACAGGCTTCTGGGAAATATTAAAAACCAAAAAAGGGCTTTTTTTTTATTGATTTTAAAAACAAAAAACAAGCATACTTTATGGCAATTCCACATCTGCTTGTTATCGATTCAAGAGTTATTAGAGGAGGCGACAAACTATGAGTAACAACCTTTCCTCCTGATACATTCACTATTTTCATACAGTAGTTGTTCTTTCAGCTGAAATTATGGATCAAGCTTCATACGTAGCTCTACTGCACATTCTCCAGAATATCTCTGATCACTGGAGGATTAAAACGAATTTAACCATAAGGTCAACCACCTCTGCTGGGTGGAAATCTGACAGAGGATAAGGCTACAAACTGAGAGCTCCTGCTGCGTTCCAATAATTTATCCTCTGCTGCTTCAGTGTTCGACTACAAGCTTCAAACAGGAAAAAACCTTCACATGTTTTATTCAATTTCAAAATTAACTACCTCAGCTTTAACATGAATCATCCAGGAAGGAGTTTGTCTTCAGATACCTTTAGTGATGATTAATGAAACACGATTTACTGCTTTCGTGATAAATAATAAATAAGAGATATAGTGTTCTTTACCTGCAGTCGCAGCACATTTATTAGCACCCCTGGTCAAAATAATAATTAAACTGAAAGAAAATATTTTAAACGTATAATTGAATAAAAAAAAAATATCTGAGCAATAAAGCCTTAATTTCTTGGACGTTCTGATAAAAATAGTTCAAAATTTGTCATATTAGTTGAGTTTTGAACAAGAGCCCCTAAATTGGCCTCTTTATAAATCTGTTCATAATATTGTGATATTTTCTGGCATTGAGGGATGCCCAAAAAGTCTATTTTAAACTTTCTGAACTTTAAATGGACCCTTTGCTTTGATAAAATAAGAATAAAGTGACATTTTTGTTAAAATAACGGTATTTAAAAAAAAAAATGCTGTGGGTCGGTTTCTCATCTAGTAAAATCGGTGATTATGTGACAAACTCAACCCAGGGGTCCCAATATTGTTCATATAAACACAGATTCTACCAACGTTCTGGCTTTCTCTAATACCTACGTTTTTATTAACGCTATAACTTAATATAAAGCTGATGGCCAAATATTTCCCTGAGGTGCTCATTAATGTGCAGGTATGTCACATACAGCTGAAAACAAACTATAAATGGCAGAGGAGGTTTTATCACCATGAAAATAAACAATTTGAAGGAAATATGTTTTGGGGAAAAAAGGTGAGGCTGGATTTAAACATTACACACCATCATTTTTCAATTATTGCTTACATTAAAACTGTTTTAAAGTCTGCTGTAAGGTATGGATTCGTTAAAGTAAGGCTAGAAAACAGTTGTATATAAATCAAATGCTACATGTGTTTAAAGAGAAAATCAGGTTGGTTAAGAATGAGTTAAAAATGGCTCTAAGTATAAACAATATATTTGGCTTGGAGTAAAATTGGTCTGTTTCTGTTTTTTTCCTGGGATTTTAAAGCAATTTGTTGATTTAATTAAGACTGTTTCTCTACATTTAATAGAGTGATTAAAGCTGCTGATAGGGTCATTAAGATTCTCCTAGAATACTCTAATCCATACTGTCCTGTTACACATCACAGTGTGCACTCCAGCCCTATAAAACTAGGGTCAGATCATTGGTTTTTAACATTTGCCACCACCCCTAAATATAATGGAGATTCCAACACTGTTCACAATCATTTATCGGTTCACAGACTTCAGCGTGATACGATCCAGAGCACAGAACAAGCAGGAATCTCTGAAGCACCAAGACTGTTTGTTACCTCAGATTTAATTCAGATGAGCTTTTAGAAGGCGTGTTAATGTTAAATGATAGAGGAAGATTCATCTTAATTATCAGCTTATTCACAAATAAAAAAGCAAGTCTTTATCAAACCAAACAGAGTTATTTTTCTCTTTTGGAGGAACTTATCTGTGCTGAAAACAAAGAGACCTTTTAAATGTGGCCATAAGACTTTAACCTCAGGCTGACGACATGTTTAGGAGGTGAAAACGCTGCTGTTCTGTAGAACTCATATCATTTAAAGCCAGGTTTTCTACGATTTAACTCACATTCTCAGAGATTGGTGAAGACTTAGATCTTGGTTTTTTAAGGTATTTGAAACTCTGCTCCGAGTCATGAGGCGATGAGGAGCCTGCTGTGAGCTCTGGGAGCAATGAGTCTCAATCACACTACTGTACATGCTGGCAGCGATCTCAACAATTCTCCTATTAAAGACACTCAAACGGAGCATGCACCGATGAGCATAAACACTCCCAAACACAAACACTCCCTGATTTAAACACTAACGCTTTTTTCCGCTGTGCACCTTAACGCACCGTCCTTTCACTCCTGTCCAAATCCTTCTGTCTCCTCGATGGCGAACATTAACTTCTCTTTCAGTTGTTCGTAGCTCTTGTAGGGCGGTAAGTCCAATCTGTTAAAGCTGGGAGCATAAAAATAAACACCTTAAGGTTTGAGAACAAATAGTTCCTAAACATCACAATCAACACAAACAGCTCAGGTGTGTCTGAGGTTTTTCTGTAGACTTACCATGTGTGACTCCTGGGAAGCCAGTTTTCCTTTCCCACCTTCTCAATGCAGAACTTCTGAGGACCGTTGCTTCCTATAAAGAGCAGAACTTCAGCTGTTTGCTCCCATGTGTTTCCATTTTGAACCTTAACCCTTAATTATAACACAAAGTAACTTTGACATCAGCTGTTTTTCAATCTCTGGTTCTCCAGCTGCACTGAGGCAGATCAGCGGGAACTCCAGTGTTAAAACAGCATCGCCACCAGCTCCCCCTGCTGCCCTCAGGTAGAAGGTACAGGTCTATGAACCCAAACTGTCCCCCTCCCTGCTCCTCATCATTACTACTGCAGCAAACTGGGCTTAACATTGTTTTACTTATTTAAATTATCACTCAAATAAGTCGACCATTGTTCATTATATTTGGCTGTGAAATATTCACTGCATAATGTTGTGAATAATGGGCACATTTTATCATGGGTGTTTATGGGACTTTTGGAAGGAATCTGCGCTTTATTTTATCTTTTTGCTGTTCCATCTATTATGATGTTCACAATAGAGGAAGGTTGACTATTTGAATAAATAAAAAAACGAAGCAGGTAGCTAGGAGTATTAATCAGATGAAAAGCTCAGTGAAATGTTTAGACGAAAGGATCAGTTACCCATAAGGTCAGCGAAGCCTCCTCCAGGCAGACGACAAGTGCCGGTGACAAACTGCAGCAGCCTCATCCGCTTCTCATTGTCAAGCTCCTTCATGAACTGCAGGAAAAAAGCAGCAGGATTCAAAGTTTAACTACGATGAAGAATCAGTTACAATGGCTTCATCATAAAAATAACTTGCATTACCCTAACAAGAGCGTAAGTACAATTAGAATACAATTCCCCAGATAAATAGTTAGTAATAAAATTATGGAGCTGTATTCAATTAAAAACATTTTAAATAACAACTTTGTTGATTGCTTCTGAAGGAAAATAAAGTAAATTATGCTTCATATAAAGGTCAGGTCAGTGAATGCCTCATAGCCAGGAGCCATTAGGTCGAACTGAAAAGGCTGCAGTTTGGAAGCTGATAGAAGAAAATGAGGCGTTAAAATTCAAAGTGAGGGAAAGTACAGGGATCTTTATATTTAATTAAGTTGCTGTACCAGTATTATAGTTATCTAAAGGAAAATAAGAAACAAAGAAAGCATAAAGAAGGTAAAATCTAAAACTAAACATCCTATGGAAGAACACTTTTCTTCAATCTTCCAATTTTCTCTTAGAATATTATTAACACCTTTACTCTTTGATCACAAATTTAAAAAAAAATATTTTGATGTTCAGGATTTCTTCTAGTTTGAACTTCATTCTTAAAATCTCAATTTGATCATTTTTTGATATTACAACCTTGAGAAAGGGAAATTTAAATTCACCACAAAGCATCAAACATGCACAGACATTTCTCTTCCCAGTTGAACTAACACTCCTATAAAATGGCACGAAACAATTTAAAAGTAAAGAGCATAACGGCAGTTCTTACTGCATTAACTACCAACATAATTTTCAACAGCTGTTTTCTGAGTTCCTCAATAATCATCATTTGAAAGGAGAAAAATCCCTTTTGTTAAACGTGTGAACTACCAACAGAGATCATTGACCCCTTAGAGCAAAATGAACAATAAAAATGTGTTAAAAGGACTTCAAATATCTGGTTTGTTATGGTTACAAAAAGATAAATCCAAATGGAGACAAATCTGTTCTATTGAAACAAGATAAAAATAAATCCTCTTTTAAATGGTATCAGGTTTCAATGAATGAAATCCAGGCCTGCTTAAGGCAAAATACATGGATGTTTCAGACATCTACTTATCAACCTAAACTAGGACGGGTTCTGTGAACTTTAAGTAATAGGGAAACGGCTGTTCCAACCGTTGCATATGCAAATTCTCCTGAGTGGTGCACAAATTTACACGAGTGAATAAAGTGAATGTGATTGGTCGTTTATCAAGGAGGCAAGGTTGTTGTGGTGGAAGGTTGGCAAGCAAGTTTGGTTGTGGCCGGTTTCTCTAAAGCATCTCGCTAACCAGTTAGCAACTTAGTGCTAGTAGGTTCCCAATGGGAAATTCCATTAGGACCAAGTAGCACTAAATTGGTGACTTAGAAACGACACTGTCAAGGAACGCTATGACAGCGGAAACATGCAAGAGGAGGAGAGTTTTGTGTCGGAGGTCGTGGATGAGTCTCCTCCATCATACGTTTTTTATTTAGAGGAGGAAATCGGGGATGAAAATGTTGTGGAAGAGGACGCCTGGGCAGCAGAAGCTTGGTTTGGTGTAGAAGGCTTACAGGCGTACATGTTTGAGCCCTTGCCTCACAACGCTGCCAGTTCTGTTAGTTCTACGCCTGCTGAAGACACAGACGTCCATCCCCGTGAACACTGGGACGGAACTCAATGGTAAAGGAGATGATTCTTATTTCAACCGTATATTAGCTGCAACATATCAATCAAGTTGCTATTGCCGAGAAAATATGATTGACAGATGACCGTTGATATATGATTGGCCGAATTTAGGTGTACAAGCTGACGTATAACTAACTGGCCTGTATAAGATAATGAAAAAACAAAAACACAGATTTTAAGACAGGATTTTTTTTTTTAAATAGAAAAGTTCTAACTTTTGGGACAATATCGTTTGATAAAGAATACATTTATATACACGTTTAAGGCAGAATGATTTGACATTTATATATGACTTCCCTACGACTTTAAAAAACTAATTCAAGAAAAATGTAAATCCCAATGTTTCCCACCAACCTGCCAGAACCAGACTATCTGTTTACTGGTCTTAGTGTAGTGTCTGTAGATGGTGTTTCTCTGCCAGTCTCCAAGATCAATCTCTTGCATTCCACACAGCATCACCTGTAAAAAGACAACTATTATTCAGAAAACCTTTTGGTGCTTCCTATAGCATAAATTATATCTAGATAAGTGTGTTGCAGCTATACCTCTAACTCTTTAGCATCAAAATACTGCAGGTACTGCTGAGGAAGGATCTCATTAAAGCCTTCAAAGAACGCCTGCATCTGGTCTTCTACTCCTCTAAACAGCCGCCACTCTGCTACCAACCTGTAGGGGGCAGTAAGGAGGTAAACACACCTCAGCTCAAAAGTCAACCTGTGGAAGACGTCAGAACAAGAACATTTAACAACCCACTTGATGTATTCCTCCTTGTTTTCCTCGGTGACGGGGATGTCTCCTCCGCCCGGTTTAAGCTCATGGGTGGAGATTTCTCCAAGGATCTCCTTATCAACTGAGAAGAACATCTCTAAACCACAGTCCTCGATGTTGTTATCCCTGACGTAAAACAAAACGTATTGGTTACAATGATATCATTCACCAGATCAGAGACTTTGTGGTGTAATAAAAGTTACAAGCTTCAAAGATAAATTATCCAACGGGAAAGAATAATTATTATTGTGTGGATTTTATCTTGTTTTGCAAGGCGAAATGTTAATGAGATGATATTAAGAAATATGATCCCCTTATTGTGAGGGTAGAAACATGGCCTCACAAAAATAATCTGATAAAGGGAGCTTCTTATAATTTTAATGGTATTGTTCACCCAAATAAAAAGAAGTCAAATTGTAATTAAGATAATAAAGGTCTGTTTCTCTTATTGGTGAATTTTAAAGATTCTCCACCTATATAACAGATATACAACAAACACAAGCCCTTTAAATTATACTCCCAATGAAGCAATTAAAGAAAATCAGAACATAAAGTTGGATTTAAAGTCAACAAAATTTCCTGAGCTTTTTATTTTTTTGTTTTTAAACAAGATATTAGCAAACTGAAACTACTGGATCATGGTCCATTAATATCTGAAATAAAAGATGACGTTGCTGGGTGGAGTTAATCCCGTTTATGACTCAAGAAAAGAGGCGGTCAAAGTTAATGTTCTCCCACAGGTTTCATATTCAGCTCTAAATCTCCCAGAGGAGACTAAGGATAGGAAAAAAAAATTATATCACAATGTTTCTGGCAAACAAAATAATCTAGAATCAAATAATGAACCCTACATTTACCCAAAAGGAAGGACTCTCCCTTGTTCAAGACATCAATATTAGACAGCACAAATAAAAAAACCTTTAAACTTGTGTAACTGAATGAATAGAAGATTTTAATGATTATTGAATCAAAGGCCTCAGTTTTCCGAGTCTGTAATCTCTGATTATTCTTTGATCTGAGTAACGGGACTAATTTATATTATGAAACTTAAAAAAAACAATCCGACATCCAGTGGACCTTCTCCAAAGGATAGGATGGGATTCACGTTTTATACCAATTAACTAAGTGTCAGATTCAAAAGCTGGCATCAATGTTTTGAGATATCAAAGATCAATTCAGGATAAGAAATCAGGATTTATATAGATGTTGTAATTAAGGCATTACTTAGAAAATAATAGCAAGAAAATATTAATGTTGGATCAGACATAATAAAAATGTTTTTTTCAATTTGCCGTACCAATAGAAATTAAATAGGAAAATGATTTTTAAAATCTTAGACGGGAAAAGAAAGTTTTTAAAAAGAAGATGCACTATTAAGAAAATATAAATGAGAAATAAAATCTAGTACAAATTTAATCTAAGCAAGACTGGGCTCCCAGACAAGTATAGGAAGTAACTATTTAACATGGAGGGAACATGGGGGGAAAACAGTGAGATATTTTAGACCAGCAGCACTGATGAAATGTTGGAGGCTG